CTCCTGAAGCCCTGCCTGTTGATGAATATTTTTAGCCACATTCAATAATTCTGTATCTCTCGCTGAGGGATTTAACAGTCCGGCTATGCTTAGCGCAAAACACAACGGCTGATTGGCCTCTGGAGGGCAAATGAGATGGTTTCGTTTTTTATTGACTAATTCGTGATCCAGAATGGTTTCGATTTTTCGTTTTCCACCGCCGGACGGATTATTTATCACTTGCAGTCTGAAATTAAATTCGTTGTCGGCCTCTAATGCTTCATTTGATTGGACTAACAGATCCAGTAAATACTGAAGCTGATTTAACATATTTGATCCGTCATAATTAAAATTAACGTGGTGCGTCGTGTGCAAAGTATTAATTTCAAACTGGACTCTATCGTTGGGACGCGCGATCTGGCTTCCTCTTTCAGCAAACCTGTTTAATATTTCCATCAGATTAATATAAAACTCGGCTGGGTCGTTGATTGCTTGAAAAGACACTCTCTCTCTAATTTCACGCTGGTTAAAAGCTGCGTTTACGCTCCCTCCGATCTGCCGGTGTTCTATTTGTCTCAATATTTCATCTACAGCTTGTGGAGATGGGTCATCTGAATTTGCTAGTATTTGATCGATCTCGTTTGAAACGGCTTGGGATGCTAAAATATCGTCTAAGATCTCACTATCTGAAGCTAATTCATCTACTTCACTCAGTTCGCTTAAATCAAACCAGTCAGTTAACACCAAATTATCGGCCTCCTCCACTGAGGGATTTTGGCTGGCTAAAATTCTATCTAACATTTCATCATCAACTACGTTTAATTCATCATCAACTACGTTTAATTCATCATCTACTTCAAGCAAATCTGAAAGGTCATCAAACCAATTTTCACTCATGATACAAAAGACATTAAAAACCTACTAAAAATGAAGAAAAAAATCTGCGTCGTCCTTTTACAGAGCCAGAACTTGTTGCATCACATCCACCAGGCCGGAATTGACTTGCAGGAGCAAGTACCCAAGCTTCATCCTGTTTAATCTCTGCAATGGCGTAAATCTGCCCCGCTTCTTCTTCTTCAACCGTTTTTCTGATGAAAAAATAAATAAAAATAAATAAAATGAACGAGCTTTTAATAAATTATATATATAAATTTAACTTACTCTGTACAGGTGCAGGAGGTGGGGCGTTCTCTTCGTCGGTCGTGGGTTGTTCTGAAAGGATAAAAAACATCATCTTTTTTACTTCAAAAATTTAATATACTCTGCAGAGCGGTTTTGTGAAACAGCTTACCGGCTGGCTGCTCAGGAGCACGTTCAGCGGTTTCAGAGTCGCTGTCGGATTGTTCTGAAAGAATAAAAACAAGGAAAAATATGAACGAATCATCTTTGAAGTAAATAACCACCTTTTTATAAATCTCTTACCCTGTGCTGGAGAAGGGGGAGGAGGAGGAGGAGGTGTGTGCGGAGATATTGAAGCGGCAGTCGGATGTTGTTCTGAAAGGATAAAAAACATCGGTAAATGTGAACGAGTCATCTTTGACTTATTAATCAGTTGTTTTTTTTTATTGTTACCATCCGTCTGCGCATGAGAAGGGGTTGGAGGTGGTGGTGGGGGCTGAGATATTGGGGGTGCGTAGGCCGTCGGCCTTTGCTCTGGAGAATAAAAACGATAAATATGAACGACACATCTCTGACTTATTAATCGCTATTTTGTAATCACTTACCAGCTTCGAGGATCGTCTGCGGCGTGATGATCCTGTAACGAACAGCTTTCACGTTCGCATTCCCGTGTGATCTGACGGTATGGCTGGGCTGATACGGATGTAAGACGGTTCGGCTGGTGGATGGAGGCGTGGTTGGGTAAAAGTTATCACTTCCGGGGTAAGGTTGAACCCCCTCCTTTTCTGTAAAATGAGATATTTCTCAGCTGAAGAAAAGAACGTTACGTATATATTTATAAAATCCACTCACTCAGATTCTCGACCGCGCGATTAATTTTAGACAAATCATCCAGAGGGATCGGTGTTTTACAAGTTAATTCCTCAATAGGAATTTCTTCCCACTCGCCGTCCGATATGACAATAGCGTCTGAAAATAAAGATGTTAAACCAGAAAGAGAAAAAAAGATTTGCGTCTTAAGTTAAAAACTTACCCGTCATCTTAGCTTGTTACACCTCAAATCACGACTCCGAAAATGCGGTTTTACATTTTATACAGCTGTTTAAAAAAATCTTGAATAGAAAATGGTTGCGATTGGTCGAAAAAAAAATGTTTATAAACAATACATAGTCATTTGCTTTGTTGTATAGGTAGACAAATGTCTGAATGGGTGTTTAGAGTTGTGTGTGTGTGTGTGTGTGTGTGTGTGTGTGTGTGTGTGTGTGTGTGTGTGTGTGTGTGTGTGTGTGTGTGTGCGTGTGTGCGTGCAGATCCAAAAAAATAATACCGGACCGGTTTTGTACCGGACATTTCTTCCTGAAATCGCTTATGAAAAATCTGTTGCGTTGTCAAGCCAATCTCATCATGTCTCAATTCGAACGTTGTTTTTAGCAGAGGAAGGCTATATTCAAAACACGTATCCATCGGTTCTTCTTCTTCGCTCGTGTGTAAATCCGTTTACGACATGCATGTGCCTTAGTTTAACTATTCTGAGAGGTATGACATTAAAGGTTTGACCAGAGGTACGTCTGCTCTGAGACTTTACTAATCCACCCCTCCCAAAAAACAAACCTCATAAACAGCTTTTTATTTATTTCAGCTGTTATAGGTCCTACAAAAAGGATCAAATCTTTTCTTTGAGGCAGGAAGCAATGTGTGTGTGTGTGTGTGTGTGTGTGTGTGTGTGTGTGTGTGTGTGTGTGTGTGTGTGTGTGTGTGTGTGTGTGTGTGTGTGTGTGTGTGTGTGTGTGTGTGACAGTGAAAACAAAATGTGACACTAAAGGCAGGAGGCTATGGTTAAGCTTTCACTGCTGACGAACCAAAGATGCTGTTCACCTAAATAGCTCTTTGAAACAATAGCAAGTCATTTGCTTTTGTGAATTGTTTCCATGCCGACTTGGTTAGAATGAACCAGAACTTTGTTTTAAAACTTTCCCGCCACTCTTTCAATACAGCCCACCTGCAAAAAAAGTAAGTAATTTGCTTTTTGTGTGTTGTTTCTGTGACGATTTGGTTCAACCAGTTCTTTGTTTTTAAAACTTTCCCGCCACCTGCAAAAAAAAAAGAAGTCATTTGCTTTGTCAGAAGTCGCTGGCCGTGCAAAATTGTTTAGAATGAACTTTAAAAAAGCTCAACAGATCTTAAAAGCATCACGCTGAGGTAAGGATCAACTTTTGTTCTTATAGGCTTGAGTATGCAGGGTGGTTTACAACAGGACCATAAATGGTTTAGGATGGTAAACCATTGCTTTTGTGAAGTGAGAGAAATGTTTGAATGGTTTAGTCAAAGACAAATGTTTGAATGTAATCCTTTTACTTCTTAGAGAAGTGTGTGTGTGTGTGTGTGTGTGTGTGTGTGTGTGTGTGTGTGTGTGTGTGTGTGTGTGTGTGTGTGTGTGTGTGTGTGTGTGTGTGCTTACAGCCTCTGATGATTCATCCATTATTTGAGGTGCTGCTGGACAGAGAGTTTTACACAATAGTTTTAGTTCTGGTCAAAAAGTGTCTGAGAGCTGCATGTAAATAACACATTTAAACACAAAGTTTAAGACTGAACATACGAAATCCAACGTGAACATCTCAAAGAGAGTATTAATGACATAGACAATGTGTCACTCTGAAGAGTTTGTGTGTATGTGTGTTTACAGCCTCTGATGATTCATCCATTATTTGAGATATAAAAAGTCCCACAAGGTTAGACTGATATAGTGTGCCAGTAAGGGCTGGTAAATGTAAGGGGTGCAGCGTCAGACTGATGTGGTTCTGCTCACTGGTGATTCTGCTCACTGGTGAGGCTGCAGCGTCAGACTGATGTGGTTCTGCTCACTGGTGAGGCTGCAGCGTCAGACTGATGTGGTTCTGCTCACTGGTGAGGCTGGCCTTCTTTTTATTGCTTCTCTGCATTTGCAGTACAATTTAGATGACAAAAACTTTCTGTGTGTTGAATTTAGGTGAGGAACATATCAGACACTTCTTCAGCGTGGCTTGGTGCTTCATTCAGCTCCTCGTGGTTCATCATTTTTTCTTAGAGCTCGGCTTTTCACCATCCGGACAGATCTGAGCTTTTAAAGAGTTATACACAATAGGATTACACTCAGAAGGCACTTTTTGAGTTGAAGTTGAAGCGTCGGATGTAGTAGGCACCTCTTCAGCGTGGCTTGGTGCTTCATTCAGCTCCTCGTGGTTCATCATTTTTTCTTAGAGCTCGGCTTTTCACCATCCGGACAGATCTGAGCTTTTAAAGAGTTATACACAATAGGATTACACTCAGAAGGCACTTTTTGAGTTGAAGTTGAAGCGTCGGATGTAGTAGGCACCTTTTCAGCGTGGCTTGGTGCTTCATTCAGCTCCTCGTGGTTCATCATTTTTTCTTAGAGCTCGGCTTTTCACCATCCGGACAGATCTGAGCTTTTAAAGAGTTATACACAATAGGATTACACTCAGAAGGGAGGGGGGCTGTGGGAACCGATGGGTAACACAATAAGAAACTTCACACGCCATTACACACATTAGCCTATGACGTGGGGAATCATGGACATCTGGACACGTTCAACAATACGCCATTGATGATGCGGCGTGGGGGGTCTAGGCCATCTGGACGATCAACAATACACATGTCCATTTGATTAATGATACGGAAGGGGGGGCAAAGATTGAACAATACACCTGTCCATTTGATTAATGATAGGAAGGGGGGGCAAGGTCAAGGGTCAAATGAACAATAGGACTGAAAGGTCAAAAAGGTCAAAGAACAATAGACCTGTCAAAAAGTTTGACGAAAGGTGTCTTATAATTCTCTCTCCAATCAGATCTTAGATCAGGTGAGTGCCAGGCGTTTCCTGTCATCCCCTAGGTTTTGCAACAGGTGGAGAGCAACTGCAGCGCCTTGCTCCAAAATCTGCGGCTGCCTTGATCTCACGATGTTATTGCTGCCTACGTAGGCATGACGTCAGAGCAAGTCGGCGTCAAGTCGGACACAAATCTAACCGGCATGCACTGCGCGCCGATCACCGGTGATCGAATCTGCGCAGAACTGGCTCATCTCGAACACGGCCGATGGCTGCCCCCGAAAGGAACAGGAAATACATCACAAGACAATTCAGTTACTGCAAAAGTGTGAGAGAACATTTTAAAACTACACTTACATGCAGATTATACACAGCACTTGATCGTTTATCTTACTTTGCATGTTTTTTTTTTATATTTTGTATCTTCTTCTCCTTCCTGTGAGACTGGTGGAGCGGCGCTCTAGGGCCACCTATGGATGAGCCGTTGCTACTACTGGGGGTGTAGGGACTAAGAAGATCACCAGTATAAGATGGCGATTGTCCATGTAAGGCCCTATAGACCAGAACCAGGATCTTGAAATGAACCCTGAAGTTGACTGGCAGCCAGTGAAGCTGGAGGAGAAGCGGGGTGATGTGGGTGTGTTTGGAGGACTTGGTCAGAAGCCGAGCACAGGCATTCTGAACCACCTGTAGATGGTTCAGGGAGGTTCTGCTCAGACACGTGAAAAGAGAGTTACAGTAGTGTAAGTCTGTGTGTCCCTTTGATGGACTGATGACCCGTCCAGGTTCCTCCTGCCTCTAAACTGAGGACACCAACTCTAGTGAGGATAAAGCCATAAAGAAATAGATGGATGGATTATAAACAAATGAAGTCCTTTCACACTCGATGCTAGAGTTTCGGATTTTTATTTAACATGTTTTATATTTTTGTCTTACTTACATTACGGTGGCACTTGCCCCGTAATCGGAAGGTTGCAGGTTCGAGCCCCGCTCAGTGTGTCGCTGACGTTGTGTCCTTGGGCAAGACACTTAACCCAACTTGCCTGCTGGTGGTGGTCGGAGGGACCGGTGGTGCCTGTGCTCGGCAGCCTCGCCTCTGTCAGTGCGCCCCAGGGCAGCTGTGGCTACATCGTAGCTCATCACCACCAGTGTGAATGTGTGTGTGAATGGGTGAATGAATGATTGCGTTGTAAAGCGCCTTGAGGGGTTCCAGGACTGTAGAAGGTGCTATATCAAATACAGGCCATTTACCATTTATTTTTTTCATTTACATCTGTTCACATTTGTAAATTTGTAGCTGTGTCCTGATATTTTTTATTTTTGTAAACATTTGAACAAAATTTTGTTTAGGCCTCCTAAACATAACTGGAAGAAAAACTCCCAGAGGATTCAGGGCTCTTCATTTATTGCTTTTAGTTTCAACTCAGTGCTGCTCAACATCTTCGGCAGCTGTGGGGAACAAATGCAAATCCATTTATTTAAAGATTCATAAACAAAATCCATTCAAATGTGAATATGTTTCTTAACACACAAAGAGAATAAAAGATACAGAGAATGTACAATCATCACTGAAACACCTGGGTAAAGACATTTACTTGCTTCTTTTTCCATGACTCTTAACTCCGCAAAGCACTGTAGGAAAATCATTTCTCTGGAGGAAAGACAGAAAAACAGAGGACAAAAATACTTCCTGTCTACTAAACCATCAGGGTAGATAATAAACATCTGACATTTAAAGTTGAGCAGAAAGGCAAGTTTCAGCTAGGACATCCGTTGGGACATTATGCTAATCCGGATCTGGAGACACTTTTAGATGATAAAGATTTTTAGAGAAAAATGTCGCTGAATTAATTAACTGTAACAAATATTCAGTGCTGTTTTAAGCAAAGAAGTCTGAGAAAAACACAGTTTAATGACAAAAACTATACATGGGATAACCCACGGAAAGGTCACTTTCACTTTCTAAACACTGATTTTACTATAAGACAACCGTTTAGATAAATCCAGCTTTACATGTGAATCTACAACATATTCAGACGTGAGAACAAAGAAAACAGATCTGAGTTGTACATCTGGTTTTCGGCAGGTTTTTGGTCTACTTTTTGTTCTTGCTCTGCTCTTGGAAAAAGTCGTTACAGGCCACGGTCAGCGCTGCTACCAACACCACAAACTCATTGAAATCCACTTCGTTGTCTTTGTTGGAGTCCAGGTCATTCATGATTTTCTCCACCACCATTGGATCTTTCTGAGACTGGAAGGGAAACAAAAAGACATAAAATAGGCGATCTGACATCTTCTTGGCCTTCACTCAAGCCTAAAACTCTCTCTCCTGAGAAAGAAAAACCAATGGCATCGACCCGTCAGGGCCCTGTTTCGCCAATTAAAGATAGCCTGAACTCATACTAGGTTTGGATCATATCACGAGTAAAACAACATCAGCATAACAGAGTAGGTGTTTGATTACTGGAGTTGAAGCAATGCTGCCAGTCATGTCCATAGGAGCTCAGATGCCAGCACTGATGTGTCATCAAAGGTGAAAAAAAAATTCAGTCCACTGTCGGCTCAAATGTGCCTCATTAATGAGGAGAAGAAACTTCTTAAACTAAACTTCAAGACACACTGTCAGAAATGAGTGATTTTATAACTTTTAGTGATGTTAAAGATGTTTTAAAATGTGGAATTTTATCCATTCATTTTCTGAACCCGCTTGTCCACGTAGGGTTGCGGAGGGGGGGGCTGGTGCCTATCTCCTGCAGTCAATGGGCAATCAGGCGGGGTACACCCTGGAGAGTCAGTCCATCGCAGGGCAACACAGAGACACACAGGACAAACAAACACACTCACATCTAAGGACATTTTAGACAGACCAATTAACCTAACAGTCATGTTTTTGGACTGTGGGAGGAAGCCGGAGTACCCGGAGAAAACCCACGCATGCACAGGGAGAACATGCAAACTCCATGCAGAAAGATCCCAGGCCGGGAAACGAACCCAAGACCTTCTTGCTGCAAGGCGACAGCTCTAACCACTGTGCAGCCTGCGGAATCTAATTTAAAATCTATTTATAGTCAACATCATTTAAACCATCGTCTCACTCATTTTACAAAACATGCATGAAAATGGCTTAAATCACTTTGTGTCACTGTGTCTGAAACAGTCGTAACAAAAAAAAAAAAGAATAAAAAAGACTCAAAGATAACAGCGTCTGAAAGGAAACAGAAAAAAACTGCTAGTTAAAAAAGGTAGCTTGGGTCTTGGCTGCCAACTAGATTCAGTTAAGGTAATGTGTGAAAGGAGGATGGCGGTGAAGATGACCTCCATCTTGCAAAACTCCTCCCACCCATTGCATTCTACTGTGGATGCCATGGACAGCTAGCCTAGTGAACTAGACCAAATTCTTGCTTTGCAAAGTTTGTTAAATAATACATTTATTTAGTCTGGCTTGCCAGGCTAATGGACAGCTACTTTAGTGGCAGACCGAGACATCCCAGAAGTAAAATAACGTGGGTCATTCATCCCCTTTACAGTTAGAGTGTATAACTCCTCAGTTTAACTGGTACTGGCAGTATCTTGTTACACAATAACATCAATGCAATATTCAGTATTGGTTCAATACTTGTGCAATACCGATGTACATTAGTATTTCTGTGTCACTTCTGCTGCATAGTTTTTGAAACAAGTTTCCTTTTTATTTGTTGTTTTTATTGGTTGAAGGTTAGAACAAAAACCCCTCCCTGGGGTGCCTCCTTACCGTGGAGGAGGGGTTTCTGTGTCCCAGTGATCACAGGAGATAAGTTGTCTGAGGTTGTATGCCTCAGATAGGGTCACCCATGGCAAACAGGTCCTAAGTGAGGGACCAGACAAAGCGCAGCCCACAGACCCTTTATTTTAAATAATATAAATGGGAACAGTGTTGCTTCGCCCGGATGTGGGTCTCCCTTCCCATGGGCTCACCAATTGTGGGAGGGTCCACAGGGGCCAGGTGCAATGTGTGATGGGCGGTAGCCAATAGCGAGGGACATTGGCGGTCTGATTCTTGGCCACAGAAGCTGGCTCTTGGCACGTGGAATGACACATCTCTGGTGGGGAAGGAGCCTGAGTTGGTGTGCGAGTTTGAGAAGTTCCAATGAGATATAGTCGGACTCACCTCAACACATGGCTCATGCTCCAGAACCAGTTTCCTCAAGGGGGGATGGACACTCTACCGCTCTGGAGTTGCCCCCACTGAGAGGTACCAAGCAGGGGTGGGCATACTATGTGCCTGTACATTGGGGTTTACCCCGGTGAACGAGAGGGTAGCTCCCTCCGCCTACGTGTGGGGGACGGGTCCTGACTGTTGTCTATGCTTATGCACCAAACTGCGGCTCAGACTACCCACCCTTTTCATAGTCCTTGGAGGGGTGCTGGAGAGCGCTCATCGGGAGCCTATATGTCACGCCCATCTACTTCCAGACCACGGGTCCTCGAAAGAACGAAAAAATGAATGCAAGTCAATGGGGCTAAAAACGCAATTTTCTAATTCCGCTTGTTTTGCGCCATGGATTTCACATCTGATGTCCGTGAATTTTACAGACACATTTTGATACCAAGAAAGCGCTTATTTTCAAACACGGGGGAAATGATATTTTAGGTTTTGTGTGAAAATAAGTCCAGGACTACAAATGCGTTTCATGAAAGTTACGTCATCAAATCAGGCACGGAGAAAATCAGAGGGGAAAATGGCTGTAAGTTTAGCGAACTTGAAATCCTTCTTTCAGGAGGAAAGACTCACCATAAATCTGGCCATTTGCTAGCAGCTACGCTAGGCGAGAGACGATTCTGTGGTGACGTCATTTGTGCAACGTGCCGATCTCTGATTTGTAGTCATGCTAATTACAAACTTTTCCAAGCTGATAAATCTCAAAGTATGTGACTGGCATGGTCGAAACACCCATCATTAGTTTTTATTTACATTGCAGTACAACATGTGCGATCCAGGGCGTAAGGCAAAGCGGATTAGAAAATAGCGTTTTTAGCTCCGTTGACTTGCATTAATTTTTTCGTTCTTCCGGGGACCCGTGAGCCGACCAGAAAGGGAGGAGACTTAGGCTCCCTATTCCGGTGACTCCCTCATTCTGCTGGGGGACTCGGGTGGGCAACAACAGTGAGACCTGAAGAGATGTGGGGGGGGGGGCCTGATCTAAATGTGAGCGGCATATTGTTAATGGACTTCTTTGCTCATCATGGACTGTCCATAATAAACACCATGTTCAGACATGAAGTTGTCCATATGTGCTCATGGCAGGATGCCTTAGGCAGCAGCTCGATGATTGCCTTTGTTGTCGTCTCATCTGATCTGGTGGGGTTGCCGGCCAGACCTGGCAGACCCAAACATATTGTGAGGGTCTGCTGGGAAGATCTGGTGGAGGACGGTGTCGCCCTCTGCTGTCTGCGCTCTCCTCTCCGATGACACAGCTCCATGCATGATCCAATGTGAAGACTCCCTCGTCTCTGTTCATGGTTCTGTGCCCATGTCTCTGTATTTCTATGGATTCCTTCATCCAGAGACGAGAGTGCGGGCAGCAGAGTGCGACACCGTCCCCTGCTGCCAGCAGATAAACAGAGAAGGAAGTGACGCGGCCGTTAGCGGCTAGCACTGAAGAAGATCACATGAGTGATCAAAACTGTCAGCAAGGTAAAAAACCTTTTCTGTGTTTCAAAAAAAGAACTTAAATATTTATTCAGAAGAAAAACACAGAATCTGGCACATATAGCAGAAACCTCTGAAAAATATTTTGAATGAAAATTGTTCAAAGAAAAGTTTTAACTTGCAAAAGATTAAATCAACAGAAAAATAAAACCTTGCGCCTCCCATGAGGAAATCAAGAGCTAGAATGCTTCAAGACAAACACTGTTAGTAATATGTTACCACCACTTACAACCAGGGAGATACCGGCTTGGAAAACAAACTTGAGTTAATATTTAGGGTAAAGTTGACATAATTGGACCAATATCTCAAAGCTGTGAATTCTGATGACTAATAGAAGATTTAAAACTGTGGAAACATTCATTTTCACTGGTAAAACTTCATGCTGGGTGTCGCATTACAGTCGCCAAAACATAAAAAATTGTAATATATGTGCTAGATTATTGTGAGGAACATGCAGATGTTCTTGTTGCAATTTAGTCAACTGGTTTTAATTATACAATTTAACTTCATTTTATTTCCTGTTGTGTTACATTAGGAAAATCAGAACATCTTTTTTCTCTGATGAGAAAAAAAATTGTCTTGAACAAGAATTCAAACAATCTCCGGTTTTAAGGATTTCCATTTTAAAGACGATTTGGCCACACCCACCCATCCCCTAATTGGCTGCTATGAGGTGAATAGTTCATAAATACAGGAGGGGCTCAGAGTGGAACCACTGCTTGTGAGGTGAGGGACGTGTGCTAATTTTCTTTATTGTGATGTCACAATAGGGACTTTTTCAAATGACCTATAGAAAGAACTGATTCCTGAACCAAATTTTCAGAAAACAGATGGATAATTTGTATGCATGTTTGGAGAGTTTAAAGAGGTAGAAACCCACGTGTTTGTTTGTTGTACTTATTCATCTCATGTTTTTTTTATCTTGGTTCTCTCTTCAATGTGAAAAATGTGTGCAGTTGGAAAAGCGACGGTGAATTTCCTGCCAGGACTGCATCTATCCTCAGAGGTGCCTGTAGCTCACAGGGATATGATGACATCATTGGGATGTCTATATTTGGAGATCACTGAAGGTGATGGTGATGATGATGATGTGTGAGCACCTGAGGCTTCCCATCCACATGGAGGGAGACGAGCAGTGAAGAGAAAGGCTTCCAAAGGTGTCGGGGGTTTCAGCCCTTCCGTGTGTGTGTGTGTGTGTGTGTGTGTGTGTGTGTGTGTGTGTGTGTGTGTGTGTGTGTGTGTGTGTGTGTGTGTGTGTGTGTGTGTGTGTGTTTGGACACGCTGGTCTCGATCACTAGAAATTGTAGGCTTTCCACGCTGCTATCGCACAGACTCAGGACCTGAGTTTATCTCAAAGGAACCTATTTATCTCCGTCTCCACATTCTTTAATTCTATGATGTGAGAGCCACCAGCAGTTATACGCTGACAGCAGGAGATAGCAATCAGAAAATCAATTTCCTCTCACAAGGTCAGAATGCTAAATTATCTCAAAGCTGCATCATTTCATTTCATCTCTGAGTGAGTGAGACACCAACAAGGCTTCCACCAAAGTGCCAAAGATTCTTCAGTGTAATCATCACAGTTACCAACGGTCATCGTCTGACACTGAAATGCACGTTTTTTTCATTTTGTCTCATGTTAATTGAAATCCTTGGTCTGACGCAAAATGCAAAACAAAGTTGTGATGTGAAAATGTCTACTTTACCGTGAGGAAGTCTGTGAGCTCACTGTGAAGAAGCTCCTTCAGCTCTCCTTTGTTTAGCTTGTGTTTATCTCCTTCGTTCCCAGAGTAGTTGTAGAAAACTGTTATCAGTGCACCCATGGCACCCTCGAGCTGGCTCGGCATCCTGCAGGTTCCTGGAGAACGAGAGAAAAAAGATGAAATCTAAAACACGATTTAGATAACACACGGTGACTTTTCTTTTGGGCGAAGGTGACGTCCTTACCTTGTTAGGAGTCTCGTTCAGATGTTGCAGCACAGCTGGTCTGTTAGGAAAGGAGCAGAAGCTAAGAGGGTGATGCTCTATCTTTGTCGAGATAATTAGTTCCACAGGTGAGAAGCCCATGGAAACTGTCTTTCTTTCCAGATTTTAATCAGAGCAGTTAAGTGAAAAACAACACATGCACCGGAACAACGCCACGGCCCTCGGGAGCCTTCACACACGCATCACCTGATACATCCCTGGAGTCACTCTGGTACGTTGCAACAGTTCACCAGAGGGATGGGAAGTCCAGACTTCTGAGAGAGACAGCTGAATACACGAGCTTTCTAACAATACCTAAAGAACAAGTTGTATCAATGTCTCTTCTACGTTTGGGCTTTCAAGGATTCAATCCTTCAAAGTGTGTGAATCTGTGACAACATCTGCAATAAACTGAAACAACACAATAACACAAACCCACGTTGGTTTCAACCCAACGGTTTACACAAAAAAATCCTACTTAACAGTTAAGTATATAAATAATCCATGAGCAGGCAGAAACCCCTTAAAAGATTTAGGACTGCAGATTGTTTAGGAAAATGCTAATCTTGCTAAAGAGCTACAGCTACTACAAACTTAGAAACGTGTGTATCACATACGATACAGTGGGCCTTAGTGGTTAAATGGTAGTTTCTTGGTTTTTATATTCAATCAGAACCTTTCCTTTTGATTATATTTATAACAAACAATTAAAAAGCCAAAGCTCTCACTGAAACTAATTTCTTTTATAAGATTAAATTTTGGTTCCTATGAAGGCAAGGAAACACCTGACCTCTGCCACCTTTATACCTTTGTGAGGCCAGATCACGCTGCAGGAATATTGTGCCAATTTTTACCCAATCCTCCTCTTCCAACAATCTTCAGGACACACCCGATTACCGTAAAGGCTCTGAAATGGCGATTTCTTCTGTGTGCACTTTGGTTTTCTCAGAAGCACAGTGGGGCTGCTCCAATCCTAAATCTGGGAAACAAAGACGTGTGTTGCATAATGTGACATGTAGCCAATCAGAAAGTGAGGTGATGGAACAACTCACAGCTGCTCTTGGTGAACATAACATCTTTGATTGCTTGCAGTCAGGTTTTCGTAGAGCTCATTCTACTGAAAAAGCTCTTCTTAGGGTCTCTAACGACCTTCTGACTCACAGTGATGCAGGGGACTGTTCTGTTCTGGTCCTGCTGGACCTGACTGCAGCCTTTGACACTGCTGACCATCACCTGCTACTGGAGAGGCTGACAGACTGGGTAGGCCTATCAGGAACTGCTCTGGAGTGGTTCTCATCTTTCTGAGCGCTCCTTTTCTGTGGCCGTCTCCAAGTTTAGATCCTCCACCACCTTCCTTACCCGTGGTGTCCCACAAGGTTCTGTGCTGGCGCCTCTGCTCTTCCTCCTCTATCTGCTCATTTTTCAGCACACCCTGAGCTCCTTCAAAAGAATCTCCTACCATCTTTATGCAGATGACATCCAACTGTACATCTCCTTTAAGCCCCATGAGATGTCTAAGCTGCAGCTGTTACACACCTGCTTAGACTTTATCAAAACCTGGATGGCTGGGAGCTTTCTTCAGCTGAATGAAGATGAGACTGAGATCCTCATCTGTGCCCCAGACAAGCTGATTCCCAAAGTCAGAGACTCTCTTGGTCAGCTTGCTTCCCACACCAAACCTTCAGTCAGGAATCTTGGTGTGACCTTTGACCCAGCTCTCACCCTGGATTCTCATGTCAGTTCTCTTGTTCGCTCTTCCTTCTTCCATCTCAGGAACATTGCTAAGCTTAGCCCCATTCTGTCCCGCTCTGAACCTGAGACAGTTCTCCACACCTTCATCTCCTCACGCTTAGACTACTGTAACTCTCTTTTCACGTGTCTGAGCAGAACCTCCCTGAACCGTCTACAGGTGGTTCAGAATGCCTGTGCTCGGCTTCTGACCAAGTCCTCCAAACACACCCACATCACCCCGCTTCTCCTCCAGCTCCACTGGCTGCCAGTCAACTTCAGGGTTCATTTCAACATCCTGGTTCTGGTCTATAGGGCCTTACATGGACAAGCACCATCTTACATTGGTGATCTTCTTAGTCCCTACACCCCCAGCAGGCCCCTGAGGTCCAGTGATCAAAGCCTACTGGTTGTGCAGCACCAGGCTAAAGACCAAAGGTGACAGATCATTTGCTGCTGTGGCCCCCAGACTCTGGACCTCTCTCCCCCTGAGACTGAGATCAGTGGACTCAATGGTCTCCTTTAAAAAAGCAGCTGAAGACTCACTTGTTCAGACTGGTTTTGGTGTGACCTTCATCACCCTCTCCTTACCTCTTCCACCTTCCTCAGGATCCACTGATTTCCCTCTTTCCTATTTACCCTCTCTCTCTCTTTACATTTTTAATCACAATCATCTATTTTTTGTCCATTTTAAATATCTTTTAATCATTTTCTAAATTCTTTTTTATATTTTTACATTTTTTTTGTGAAGCGCCTTGTGATTTTGATCTTGAGAGGCGCTTTAGAAATGATCTTTTCTTCTTCCTCCTCCTCCTCCGCCATGTTTGTTTACATCAAAGTCACGAATTATCTTGAAATTACCCATCGATCTGGAAATGTTCATGTGAGACATTTTTGGCTGCACACCAAAGACTGTAGGACCAAAGCTGTTCTATTTGTGATATTTTTTCCCTTTTGTTTTGATCTCTCGTGTGTTGAAAGTCATCCAACTTTTTAAAATCCTGCTGTGTGGACCGGGCATATGCTGATTTGCTGTACCTGATAAACCAACTGGACTCAATGTGCACAAGTTATCACTGGTTCTGGTCACGGTGAATCAGTGCTCTCTGTATGCTGCTGCTTCTCTGCCCTCTCGCAGATTTATTCACTGGATGTCTTTTGTCTACAAGTGTCTCCTTGGTCTGACTCCTTCTTATCTGTGAGTGTATTTGCACAACTGTCATGGTCTGTGCTCTAGTGCCGTCCTCCAAATGTTGATCCCTAGAATCAGAACACAGTTGGGTAAAAGAGCTTTTGCACTTTTGTTGCTCCATCTTCTTGAAATAACGTTCAGAATGAAATGAATATTATGAATCTGATTTCATAATGTGAATTTAAAACACTTCTAAAAGTTGGAGAAAATGAGTCTCTAAGCAAATGTAGCTGCTTCATTGAATCACCCACAAAATATATGTTTGAATTAAGGACAAATGATTATTATATGTACACTCATCTGTAAGATATCATCAAGATGCCAGAGAATCTAGAAAACTCACCTTAAAAGTGTTTGAACCAGGTTTGGCTTAAGAACCTTAGAAGTTAATCATCTGATTAGTTGAAACAAAAATCAAACAAAAAAAAAAAACCACACGACTTGTTCGCTCAAATCTCTTTGTCATAAAATACCAATTACATCGAGATCTTTGGAGTAAATCTGTGAAATTTCTAAGGTGTGGGAAACATGTTGAATCAGTACATTTGCATTGGTCTCTGGTAGGAATGAATGCCTTACAAGCCGTACTCAGGGCAAAATAAGTCCAGAAGGGCTTGGATCAGCAGGGATAAGTCTGCTGAAGCAGAGAGTGGCACAACATGACATCACTTCTTTGACCGGATAACAGAAACGTAATTTTACTACTGACTCAGTTTGCTCTGCATGCAACATGTTTTATCTCCACAAATAACACAAGCCTGGGGGAGCTTTTCTGTGTGGTGGACTTGCTAATGCTAACGGTTAGCTTTTTTTTTTTTAACCGTGACCTGTCTGGCTGTGAAGCAAGCAGAATTGATGTCTGAATGCTGGTAACAAGCCCTACAGATTTATTCTCAGGTGGAGCATCAAAGTGTCTGCTTTAAATGTCACGCCTGATACTTCAAATTTTATTGTTGTTGTTTTTGAATGCTTTGTAATTCCGACCAGACACGGAGACAGAGGTGAAAGAGGAAGGAAAAGACAAATGGTGGGAAGAGGGGGGGGGGGGGGGGGTCCACAAAAATAAACAATAATGAACAAGAGTCTGCTTCTAGACCTGCAGAAAGAGAAGTGCAGAAAAAATGGGACACACAACAATACATCAGGAGCAAGCTATCACTGCGTCAACGTGATGATGAAATATAAAATCAACATTGTTTAACTGAACAATCACACGATAATAAATCACAGTGCATTTAGTGGCAACGACAGCCTTGAGACAAGTGTTGAACGTGCCCAAGCCCATACTTTTGACAGCACCATGTGAGCACCTGTGTGTGTACACGCGCTTGTTTATGTAAGTTTTCTCTATAAACGTGTCCAATAGAGAGTGTGAGGGACCACAGATCTGCCCCCAACGATGCGTAGGAGACGGGGGGAGCTCCAAGTCCCAGAGATCCAGGCGCTGCCCCAGAACACAGGAACCCCAGGGGGACTGCAACCAGAAAGGCCCCCCGCCCCCCTCGAGAGGCGCAGAGGATCGCCCCGGGGGGCCACAACCAGCAGCCGGCAGAGCCCCGGGAGATATCAGTGGCAAGCCCACAGGCCCGCCCGCCGCCTCCCACCCCCTAGCCGGCCGAGCCCTGGACCCAGCGACACGGGACCCAGGGGCGACCACCTTCGCCGGGGACCCAGCAGAGCCCAGGGATCCAGACCCCACCAGGCAGCCACCGGGATTGACCAGGCAGGCGCCAAAGATCTTAAATCCCCTGACCCGGGAGCCACGAACACTCAGGCAGACCAAGGCACCACACCCCACACCAGATGTGGCACGGGGAGGGGAGACGAAGATCTATATCATCAAAGGAGGTCCCAGGAGAGGGGAGGAGTCAAAGGCCCCACCTGACATATACAGTCATACACAAACACAGTCACACACTCCCTCCCTCATGCTCACACATACACATACAACCAAAGACTTACAAAAATGCATGCCGTACACCCACTCATGCTCCCCATACATATCCTATTCACTTTGGTCCCGGTACTGTTGCACATGGGGTACAACCATCACCGGTTACCAGAGTTTGACCCTTTCTGCTGGGGTGCCGATGAGCAGGCTCCCCCGCCCAACGCCGAGCACAGCAACCCACCACCCCAGACCCCACCAGACGGCCAGATCTCCCTCCTATTCTCCAGCCCCAGGAAGCCAAGCAACA